TCTAACATTTGTTGGTTTAAATAAATAGTTAAATATATTAGTTTGATCCACTGTAAAAGTCAACGAAAAATTAGGTTCAATTGACACTAACTCTGAATCTTATGGGAGTTAGGAGGTTCAACCAACATTAGTTCTTAATCTTACAAGATGTAAAAAGTTCAACGACACAATACAACTAAAACCCCTAAATAACATACTCTTGCCACTTCCAAGAACAAGCAACCGATAACATAATGAAATTTGATTCTTGTTGATTAGATCTCTAGAACAACTTCAGATTCAACGAACGACGTGCAATTGCTTAACGCTTTGAATTTATTGTCGCTTTAAGTTGTGATTTTCGAAATCATTCATCAATAAAAACAATACTCACCTATCAATCCATAAAACTATCTAAAATTTACCCAAACAGATATTCTGTAGACTGTAGAGGAATGTTTTATTTTCAATTTGTTCATTCTTTCAAAAATTTTAGTGAAATAAGTTGAATTATTTATTAAATTTTTAACTTCAATGGTGAACTTTTAAAAAAATGTTTGATTCTACAACTTAGTGGTAACAATTTAGAGAAATTTTTAATTCTACCAAATTTTTTTTTTCTAAGTAATCAACACACGGGAATAAATCAAATGATAAACGCAAGAAGTATTGTGAAAAATGTTAGAAAGAAGATATTTGAATAGTAATCTAGCAAATGGGAACAATTTGTCTCAAACTTTATCGATAATATTTGAATATTTAATTAAGCAAGTATGTTCGGTATGCAAGGACGATAAACTCCTACAATTCACAAAATAGGGGAAAAAATTTAGAGCATCTTCAATGGTAAGAAACCCTTTAATTAAAAAAATATTCAACCAATGAAAAATCAAGGAATGGCTAGGTGAGTTTCTAAGACCATGATTAACCATGATCTGTTGGTCTCATAAGGCCAGTCTCAAAGCCCAAAAACAATAAAATAATCAGTTTTCAGTCTCAGCCCAAATAAAACGTCTCAGTGGGCTGAGACTTTTGCTGTGTCTCAACGCGCCACGTGTCGCGTTGTCATTGGGCCGTGGCGAGATTTCGTCGCGAAGCAGAGAAGGAAAAAAAAAATTCATTTCGTCGATCTCATTGTTTTCTCCGCTTGGGAGAGAAAACGCAAGCGATTTTTTGGGCGATTTCGCCGTTGACGTCGTCGGAGAAATCTCTCCGTCAATTCCTCTTTTCATCTTCTCTTCTCCCTGTTCGCGAAACCCTAG